TTGCCGAAACCGCCTGCCACTACAGGTCCTGTATTTGCTCTTCCGCTTGCAAACGTGAAATCTACGCAAGACCGCCAATCACCGCGTCCTGCTGTGTTGAGCTTCTCCACCGATCTTTCACACTCCAGCGGCGCGCAGACCACGCCCACACTCTCGACCTTCTCGCTATCCCGCTTCCCGCAGCCGCCCCACCGGATCGACCCGTCGCTCTCACCACCCCACGATGAAAGAGAGCCGAGGCGAATAGACGCACCTAGCTTCGCGACAACCGCGCCTGCGACGCCGCCCGCGACGCCCGCAATTATCCATTATCGCGGTGCTTCCTTTGACTTGGTTAACCCGCACGATTCGCTACTGCTTCACGACATTGTTACGCCCTCGCGCGACTTCGATTCTAGTGAATATCTTCTTCTACGTTCATCTGACGACGCATTTTCAGAGGTATGCATTACAACCCAACTCCGCTCTCAGCACAGCTGATCGCAACAGATGGCGCCCAAACGAGCCGTTTACGGCGATTTCCGCGCAGCGCATGCAGGTATTCTGCGACGTCCTGAAGATGAGCCAGAGCAGTCGCATATGGAGCTTCCGCTTGAACCGTCACCTGCTGCCCTCAGTCCCAACTCCTCGTCTTACACATCGCCTCCTTACAGCCCCGAATCAATCAATGCGCCCTCCCCACTGACCATCAAGCCGCCTGCTCGCGAGTCGCGTTTCTCCCTTAAAGGATTGACTCGCACTTTGACGAAGAAGCTCACCAAGACTCCGTCGGCGTCACAGGGCGAGGAGTTGCAGGAGATGCGTAGCGAAAACGTGAGCAAGGCATCAATCAGCATGGAAGGAGAATTCCCACGTCCGCTACACCAGACCTATATCACAACCCCCGAAACATCATACTTCCCGGTCGGACCAATGTCGCCAGCTACGCCCAGCAGCCCCCTGTCACCTGAAGGCTTCCATGCCTTTACACCGGCGTTCCCACAAGCCTTTTCACCCGGACAGAATGAAGCGGAGGCACCGCGAGGTCAATCCGCTGGACACTATCAGACGGATTCGCTAGCATCCATGCTGCCGGATGAGCACTCGACGGAGATCGGACGATTAGATGAGTCTCATCTACCTTACTCTACTGAAGGCGGGCTTTCAAAGCCCTACTACGACGATCTTGATTCGATCTACCCCAGTTCGTCCATCTACACCGCAGATGGTCATCGGAAGTCCATGTATCAGCAGGGACTCCAGAGCAACCGGAATAGCATTGGCAACCCGTTCGCTCGGCTTAGTGGGATAAACGCAAGCGACTTTGCCAACGAGTACAATCCTAACAGCTCGTACGATTATGGCGACTCTAATCGGATGAGTCGGCAAATGTCACGTCCATTCGCCCAGGACATGTACCACCCTTCGGTCGAAGAACGTGATCCCAAGACAGACACCATCAGCAAACTCATCGATGAATATAGCCCGCATGATACTGCAAATGCGCCCGTAGCCACTCACTATGAAGGCAAAGGAAAGGGGGTTCAACAAACTGGTATAAGTTCAAGGCGGCCTCCGATTACCCAGCACCCTGGTTCACCCCCTCGTGAAGCGGCTCCTCTTGCACCGGCCTTTGAGTACGATGAAGCACCTTTCCTTCCTCCACGTCTACCAGTGTCTGGTATGTTCTCCGATGAATCACGCTACTCATACGGAGATACTCGAAATCTGCTCCGCATCTCTGAGTCAGATGTCTCGTTTCAGCCTGCTATGAAAGGCACTCTGGAGCCATCTTCATCGTACTCTCAACCAGAAGCCAGGACTCTGGAGCCTTCGTCTTCTTACTCTCAAGGGGACAACCCGCAGAGTCCGCATACGCCTAGAGAGGCTCTCGAACAGGCCGAACAAATCTTCCAAGACACGGCCAATAAGCATCAGGATGACCGTAAGATCCCCGCGATGTGGACTAGACGCAACTCGGCCAGCCTTATGCTAAGTAAATCAGCCACAAACAGGTCATCTGGTGTTCCTGAGGAGTTCGACACACCTCTTGGTGGCGGCGACGCAGCTATTACCGGAGATAAAGCGGATTGGGAGACGGTCGGCGGCAACAGTCGCGATTCGAAAGGCCACGAGTCTCTTCTTAGCAGTATTGCAGACTATAGCAGCAGTGAGGGCACCCGGAACAGTCTTGGCCTAAACTCAGATGGCTCCCTTCCTTCCTGGGCGAAGCTAGCTCAATCGCCGGCTCGTTCGACATACTACAACCACCCTAGTCCATCACGCACTCAACACCCTCATCTGTTCGGCTCATCGCCACCACAGTTGAGAGCTCAAGCAAGTGTCCGTACCGCACCCGATACTTCATCTCTTCCCTTGGCCACTAGCCCTCCAGCATCACGGACAGCACCATTGTTCCAGTTCGCTACTCAACCTGAGGACGTTCGCGGGCGCGGTGCCGTCGATCAGCCATATGCTTACGCTCCTTGGGCGGACCCGTACGCTTTCAGCGACAAAGAGACGCAAGAGCTGCTAGCTTCTGGCCCTAATGATAACATCATTATCGATGAGCAGCGCGCTTCGTCTGTGGGTCTATCACAAGGACATTACCGGTATAGAAGCGATGATAGTACTCTACCGACTTCAAGTACCGCTGATGAGAGCGTTTTCGACAACAGTCCTATTGGTCTCGAGCGCCAGAACACCTTTGAGAAGCTCTCCTATGTTGGGCCTAAGGGCAACCTCACTGGTACTCCTCGCGGTACTGGCATGCATGAGACAGGTAGCAGTGTCGCAAATACTAGCAGTCCTGGTGTGAACCTCAGCTCGAGCGTCGGTCGCCAGAGCGTTCGTTCAGACTACACCGGGTTCTATGCTTCGCCCTTCCCAGCTACAGGCAGCGTAACTCGCATCAGCCAGTCCCGACCAGTCTACAAGCCGAGTCCCGAGCATCGTACACCATCAGAAGCTAGTATGTTCTCACAGACGCCAGAACTGGAAACTGTTCAAGAGACCTCTCCAAACCCTGGTGCTCGCAAGCACCTCCGTAACTCTACCACGTTTCTGCGTCAACAACGCCGCACGAGCCGCTCGGCCGTACCCGGTCAGACGAAACTGCGGCAGATGTTCCTTGCGCCTGAAGCTGCTCGATCGACCATCTCGACTCAGGACACGCACATCACGCGCTTCGTGGCCCACAGTGATCGTCCCTCTACCAGCGACACTACCACGCCTCTCCGTCCCACACACCCTAGCCTAGACATCTACCCTGCGCCGGTCCGGACCAACATTGCCCACCAGCACTCGCCTCACCTTCTCTGCGTGGAGCGGGAGCCCAACCCAGAAGACGAGGCACGCCGCCGCAAGCTATCATGGTGCATCCTCATGGCCTTCTGCCTCCTGCCACCCTGCATCATCCTCTTCCGTTTCATAGGAGACAAGGTCATCGCCGAGCTTACCAAAGGCCATCTTGGTCACGTCACGCCACAGTCTAAGCGAACGGCGCTCATTGCTGGTATCGTCGTTAATGTTGGCCTTGTCACTGCAATCTTGGTTCCGGTCTTGGTCGCGCAGGCTCTGAAAGCTGCTTGATGGGGAGTGTTGATGGGGTTGAAGAAGAACAGGTACGCAGTGCTATTGTGATGATCTTATGTGAACTAATCTTGATGAACAGCAGTGCCAGCAGTCTCGAACATACTCAAAAGTGCTACCAACGATATCTCGAACCGCAGACCTTGCGACGCGGTACGACATACGAAAAGTTTGCGAGCGATCTTCATCGCAAGTTCCAAGGAACAAATTGGCCAGCAACGTCTTGGTTGCGGCGTCCATTCTCTTCTGAGTGTGAGTTCTTTTCCTTTGTTCTGTACTATCTTGCGTTGCTTTGGCGTTGCGTTTGCATGATCTGGGAATTTTTCAACGTTGGAGACAGCCATTTGGCTCTTCGGCTTCTCACACGTGGGAGGAAGGTCTTTATCCGGGATGCATGATTGGCGATGGGCGAATATCCGGGCATGGTGCATGTGCATTAGGATCGACATCTGGGGAATTGGTCATTATGGGGTCTACTGGTATCTCTTTTTCATGTGTCGCGGCTGGCTTTGTAATGAGGTTGGCTGCTGGACGGTGGGAGGTTTGGACATGGAATGGTGGTTTTTCGGTTTGATGGATGATGGATGATGAATGGATGGCGGACATGTTTGGTTCAGGTTCAAGAAGAAATACGAATAACTTCATTCAATACCTGACAATCTGCTATTGGTGTGCTGCTCTCCGTATTCTAACGCATATGACACTGGTCGGCCAATCGCCATGATCATGCATCTTTCCCATTCTGCTGCGGAGGAAATGTCTTTCGTCTAGCCAATGGAACCAGACCGATATCTGCTTCAGTATCTACTTTGCCTGGTGGTCCAAACTCCGTATGGTATTCTCTGCCAGTAGACCATTGCTCGATAACACTCAGTGGTCGCGACGGCGACGGCGAGGTGGTCTGTAGACTAGCGTTGTCCGATGGTACCGAGGTAACCATACTCTGATTATCTCGGTGTGACTCGGGTCGCGCTCGGCTTAGCATGCTGACCTGGGAATCTGGCCGTACTTGATTGCGACTTATCCTGACTTCGTCGCGGATGAAGTAGATTTGGTCCACCATGCTTTTGACTATCAACGAAAACCGATAAATGAGATACATGTAGAGTAGGAACGAAGCCAAGTCAGTAGTATCGCTGAGGTTCCACATAACTCCCATTGATGCGGATAGGCAGCTTTCGCAGAAGCAGTAAATCAACGCACGGCGGCCAAGTTTTCTTGCCGTGTAGACGTCGTCGCTATTTTGGGTAGATAGTTGACCGGACCGTATGCTTATCAAGTCTTCGTGGGGTTTGAATGATCCAAAGCGCACTATGGCAGTCCAGATCCGGTTAATGAGACCTTTCAGTTCTGAAACAGAGGGTCGAGAGTAGTCTGTGGCGTTCCCGCCTTGCGTGATACTTCCAGATGTGGCTATTCTCGCAGTTAGGCTAGTCGTCGTTACACTCGCGTTGAAAGACGAAGGGGTTTCCTGACCAGCAACCCGATTTCTCGGAAGCTTCTGCTCTACAGGCGTGGTTTTACATCAGCGTACACTCTGCGACGTTTAAACCACACGGACTTACCATTTATGACTTCAACTGCGGCTAGGAACGTTAACGCTAGTAGCACTATGGCTACAACCTGCCCAAATCCTAGGATGTGCAGACTGTTCGCTGGTTTTAACCCTCCGTACCACACAGCGAGGACAACACTGCCGGTTCCATATGTCATTCCCAGGAAGATTTCTGGGAGGGCCGATATGTATGAGTTGTAGTACCTGTCGAAGAAGAACCATATGGATATTGCTGTCTCGTCCGTAGCTGCGATTGGTGGCTGTAGCCAGGCGTAGTATTTAGTATCAGCCTTGTTGACAGTCGCACTGGCGTCTTCTTTCGAGGAGCCTTTGAGACGCAGATAAGATTTGTAACAAGATTGGATCAACACGCGCAGCGGATCCGTTTCCGGTTCCAAGAATAGCTTTGTGACAGCCAAGGTGTGGTTGGCAAGTACAAGTCCCAGAATGAGAATTGATTCGACCAAATCGAATTGGATTGACTTGCCAAAACGCGACGCTTCGAAGACGCACTGAAGTACATTGCCTACGTTCAAGGTGCTCTTCGATATGACTTCGTCAAAATTAGTTGAAACGGTATTGACGATGAAGGAGAAGGCGAAGATTGCCAGGAACCCAACGGTAAACACAACTCGGCAATCTCGAACGAGCTTACGCTCATAGAGATGACTTTGAAGTACTCCCAGAGAGAGCGCATGCGTAAAGGTGGCAAAGTACGCTAGATAAGTGACGATGTTGAACTCATAGAAGGTGATGCGACACCGACCAGCGAGTCCCGCGATAAGGATCGCAACACCGGTGATCAGTTGCTGGTCGCTTAAGACTGTGGCGAACCCAACGATAATCTGAGTTCTTTCTTTCTGCTTTGGCGTAGGCTTGAAATGAAGATCTGCCTCGACGAAAGGGCGACGCAGCTTTTTAAGTGCCTGCAGTGCGTAGTGATCGGTGCGAGATAGCACGTCGAGGGGCAGGCACTCATTGTAGTAGCCCCAGGCAATGACGGTAGAGAGCATGTAAGCGCAGAAAAGAAAAGATATCAACACCTTCAGATGATATCAGCGTGCAGCTCCAGAGGCCATCAATGATTAACTTACTCCTATGCCCGCGATGTCGGGGTCTACCTCGATTTCGGTGTCACAACCATCAATTGGTTCTTTGGCGTAACACTTATTGCAGTCGAGAGAGCTTCCGCAGCTACCCATGGTCGTTTGCTTGCGTGGTGGTGATGTGTTAGGCTGGGCCAAGGGAGCAATCGTAGCAAGAGCCGGAACAAGTAGCCTTTGAATAGCAGCGGACATGCAAGAAGGCTGATGTCAGCCGCCAAGGTCCTGCCTGCATGCGATCCCGATGCGCCAGAGAAAGTGGGAGAAAAACCGGGAATGGCGCAAGGCTGGGCTATTGGTGGCGCATAGAAAGAACGTCTGCGCGTTCGGCTCGGTCCAGTGGCTAGCCTCTGACAGTCGAATCTAGGAGCCGTATCAGAGTGAGGTGTAACGATAACGGAAGACATTGGGCCTGTGAACATTTGCCCAGGTAACGGTGGTTTGTTTGATGGCTAGTTGGTGGGTTGACGGCTCAGCCTTGTGTGTGTATTTAGTGGCTGTGCATGAGTTGAGAAGTTGGGTACACGTGCCTACAGAGGCGTGGAAGCTCGCTTCGTGATTGGTATAAGAGATAATCCCTGCAGGCTGCTACGTTCAGCAGGAGATCCGAAATCATAAACCTGTCGCTGTAGATCGAAACGTATGCGCCGAATATGCGTGCGATGAAGATTAGCCGGATTCCTCGACCGACCGGCATCAAGAGCTCCCGTCTTGCCTGTTAAACAGTGCGTTCAAACCGAGGCTAGCTTCAGTGTCCTGCCTGCGAGGTCGTCCGAATGTCGGGCTCGTTTCTGTCGCAGTGGTGTGTGCATTATCGCGCTGGATGTCGAACATGTCCAGGGAAGGCAGTCGTGGTGGGATGTGCGATGTGCTATCTCCAGACATGCTATGCGCCATCGGAGACGCCTGCGAGGACGTTCTCTTAGTCTTGCGTGATTTGATCCCTTTCCATACGAATCGAGCCTGGTAAATTTGACGTCTCAAAGCGATGACCAGTTTCGATAGCGCCCATATTGGAACAATGCTTAGCAAGAGGTACAGCTGTACGTCACCCACACCCCCCACGACAATCATCACTACTGTGGATAGTGCACATAGGATCAAGGATCGGATGGCGACTGTCCTTTCCCCGTTAAAGGGTGGTGGATTCGCAACGTGACCAGACGCGCTCACGCCATCACCTCGAACGCAAACGGACGGCTCGACCAACGGCTCGGACGTGGTAAGGGTCGGAGATGGAGCATTTGAGTTATTGATCTGATACGAAGGTCCCTGCGTTGATAAGGACAGGGAACCGTCCAGCACGGTTTGCTCTTCCTTGAATCAGTAAAGTCATAATGAGAGTAGAGACGAGGCTTACCATTTACGATTTCAATTAGAGCAAGCAATGGAAGAACCAGCAGGCCGATCGCAACGACTTGGCCAAATCCAAGCATCCCGGCATCGCTCGATGGATAGACGTCGGCTACTAATACCGCAGAAATCGTATTGGCCGTCCCGAAAACGAACTGAAAAGCCCACACGGGGATCTCAGAGAGATACGCTTCATGATATTGCTCAAGAAAATACCAAACAGATATCTTGACCGCGTCATTCGATGGTTGGATTCTAGTATCATAGTCAAGACGGGCATCTGCGATGATGGTTGCCGACTCCATTTCGGAGAGGAGTTGCGACCAACTCCAGAGGTATATGGATATGCGATCCATCAGAGGAGCAGTGACATGACGTTGGCGAACGACTTCCGGAGCAGCTAATCGAGCTATGGCTGAGATATGTTTTCCCCATAAGATTATCAGTACAGGGAGGATTATGAGTCCAAACTGGGCATCAGTCAAAAGCGCGGGTTTCGACACCCACTGCTCCAATGCACATTGGATTAGATTGATGTTGCTTCGATACCCACCGTACCAGACATTATCCAAGAGAAACGCGAACGTGAATAAACTCAGAAACACAAGCGTGAAAATTACGCGACAGTACCTGACCCATCTGTGCTGGGCTAGGTGATTTCGCAGCACATCGAGTGACAGGCTGTGCGTCGTAGCTGAAAAGTAAGCCAGCGATGTAACTATATGCCATTCATTCTGAGACATAACACATCGACCTAAAATCGCAGCAATTAGTATTGAGATACCCGTTATGAGTTGCTGATCGCTAAGCATCTTGATGAATTTGGCCAGAACATGGCTGCGACTTCGTTGTTTTGGCGTCTCTATGAACACGAGTATGTTGGTACTTTCGTCGTGCCTCTTTCGCCTGAACAGGCCCTCCAGTATTGCGATTGCATGCTTGTCGGTCGACTGTAGCAGGCCCGAAGGCAGGGTCGAGGTTAGGTACCCCCGGATCACTACCACGAAAACAGTCAAAGCGCTGAAGTAGAATGATACGAGGATCTAGTGTTGCGTCAGCTAATGAACCAACTCGAATCTTACTGCTTACCCCAATACCAGCGATGTCTGGATTGACTTTTGGTTGTGTTGGGCATCCGCCTTCTTCCGAGTCTCCATACCATGCCCGGTTTTCAGGGCACGCAGTACAGTCGACGGAACTACCGCAGTTGCCCATGCTGGCAAGACTGAATCGAATTGCTGGAGGCAGTGCCGTACCACTACGTATGATTTATAGCGATGCTGAAACTGTTGACGAGTGTCTGATGGTGATGACCGACAGGCTGAGAGCTAGTAAGCACGTAGAAACGTGAGATCCTGGAAGCCGCTGTGGCATAGAATAGCCCCAGTATGAATGCAAATAGATGTAGAGTCGGACTTATAGCGTGGTGTTCACCCTCGTCGTGTCGGATGAAGCTGCGTCGCAAACAACAAGTTCTCGCCACCTCAGCTTTTCAGCTGCCTGTTCAAGTAGGCGCGACATAAACGCCGCCCAGACCGCCACAAAGCGTTGATTGGGTGACTTTAGGCCCCCAAATCTGCCCAGGTATGACTGCATTGAAGAGAAGGTGGGAGAGGCTCGAAGTGACACGGCAGTTGCAGACCCGTTTACTTTTCCAGCTCGCAATCCGAACAACACCACAGCTAGGCAACGGGTGGCTTTAGCTAAGATAGCCACAAAAGACTTGCGCAGTTCTTTACGAAGCGTTAGTAGCATTTCTCTGTGGTGAAGAAGATTGGCAGGCCATCGTCAGATGGGGAGGTGCTGCACTACATGGTTATCGTAGGCTTGACGAATCCACCGTGCAGCAAGGCTAAGACAGGCTGCGAGCGTCTGATGATCTATCGAGAAGGTCAGCAACACGCACCGCAACGTGCGACGCACCCCGGAATGTGTATACCCGTTCGATATTGTGGTTGTAAAGTTGGAGTTCAGAGCGAGGAAGCTGCCAGTATGCCCAGCAGCTACTTCCTCTATGCCGAGTCATGCGCCAAGCCAACCCTCCAACTGCGCTAGTGTTGCGCGAGTCATTGACACCTATGTTGCTACATTGAAACAGCAAATCGATGAAATCGGGAGATTACCAAACATCACTCTCACAGTTGATACGCCATCATTGTTGTTCATTCATCTTTCATTCATACAACCGGTGCAAACCAGTCACGTTGGGGTATATACAACTCTCTACTCCTTGCTCAAATCCGCAATCTGCAACACCGCCTTACCAAAGTTCTTTCCCTCGAGCATACCAATAAAGCCGTCAACCGCATTATCAATGCCCTCGGTAACACTAATCTTCGCCTTGAAGGTGCCCTCAGACAACCACTTCTGCAGCTTCTCCTGGTGCTCCTTCGCATGCTTAGGACCCATGTTCTCGTCACCAACAATGAAGCCGCGGATAGTAAGACGCTTGGCAACAACGTTCATGAGGTTGCGGATGGGGTACTGCTCGCCGGGCTTAGCGTTGTACTGGGAGATCATGCCGCAGGCGACGATGCGACCGAAGTTGTTCATGGCGTTGATGGCGGCTTCGAGTTGCTCGCCGCCGACGTTCTCGTAGTAGATGTCGATGCCGTTGGGGGCGAGGCGGGCGAGGGCATCGGCTGGCTTCTCGGTCTTGTAGTTGAAGCCGGAGTCGAAGTTGAGCTCCTTGGTGATGAAGTCGAGCTTCTTGTCGTCGCCGACGGAGCCGATGACGGTGAGGCCTTCGTGCTTGGCGAGTTGGCCGACGAGCTGGCCGACGGCGCCTGAAGCGGCGGAAATGAAGATTGTCTCACCCTTCTTGGGCTGGCCGATCTCGTAGAAGGAGGACCAGGCGGTTAGGCCGGGCATGCCGAGGGGGCCGAGGAAGTACTTGGGGTCGAGGTTGTAGGGGTTCTTGAGCTCGATGCAGTTGGCGACGGCGTCCTTGTCGAGGATGGAGTACTCCTCAATGGGGCTGATGCCCATGGTGATGAGAGTTTGACCCTCCTTGAACTTGTCGCTGTTCGACTTGACGACCTTGAAGATGGAGCGGTTGGTGATGGGCTTGCCCAGCTCGAAAGGAGGGGAGTAGGACTTGACGTCGGGTGCACGCATGCGGCCACGCTGGTAGGGGTCGAAAGATGCGTAGAAGTTCTTGACGAGAAGAGCGCCCTCGGGGAGCTTCTGGTCGAGGTCGATGTCGCGGGCCTCAACAGCGAGGTCCTGGCCTGGCTTTGGCCATCCCTCTGGGACCTTCTTGAAGATGACGCCCTTGTTCTGAACCATGATGGTGTGTTTGTGTTGTGTAGAGTTGGGTGTTAGGAAGGAAGAAGTAGGGTATCTTGTGTTGATGTTGTAGAGTGGTTTAATAATTTGATGCTGAAGATTGAGACATGAGCACCTAGCTATATACCAACACCTCTAGCTGACAAACTGTGATTTCACCGCCGAGAGAAAGACCCTGATTGCATCATGGGTGGAGGGAGGGACCCGGAGGCGCCGTCCTAGCACGGCAAGCCCAGTCGTAACGTTGCATATCGGCCAGCGACCGGCAA